CATAATCAGGGTAATAACAATTTATTCTTCCTGCCCCAATAACAGAGACACTGGGGATCCCACAGCAGCCAAAGTGACCATTTGGGCAGCTATGGCCTCATTCTAGGCGGGGTGGGTGTGCCTATGCAAATGAGATTGGCCCCTGAAGTTCTTTTCCACAACTTGCCACATCTCACCACCAGATGTCAGGGTGGAGCTCATCCTGACACTGCTTACATGTGCAACTAGAAAGTTGGCAACCCTACCACCTGGCGCTTGGGCTGCCCGTGGCTCCGGAGCTGGGGCCACTCAAGCCGGGACTGGGGTGGGGCAGCCAGCAGTCTGGGACTTGGGGAGTACCCGTGGGTCAGGACTTGGGGTGACTGGGGCGGGTCTCCTCCATGCATGGTGGGGGGCTTGGGGCTTTGGTGAGGGAGGGGCCTTGGGCAGAAGTGGTAGGGCCGGGGGCCAGCCTCCCTGAACTGGGGGTGGTTCATGTGCCGCCCATGAGATGCAGGATTGGGTGGGATGTGCTGGCAGAGTGTGGGGTGCAGGATTGGATGTGTTCTGGCAGAGCTGGTGGTGCAGGGACATTGGGGTGCACTGGTAGAGCTGGGAGGTACAGGAAGGTTGGGATCAGGGGCATTGAGTGTACTTGTAATGCTGGGGTGCAGGGTGGTTGGGGTGCAGGAAAGATGGGGTCCAATGGTAGAAATGGGAGGGCCAGGGAGTTGGAATGCACTGGCAGAGCTTGGGGATCCCATGTCTCCTTCACCTGAGCCCCCAATCTCTCTCACTTGCCTACCATCCATCCCCAAAACCGTAATGCATCCCCAAACCCTTCTCTCCCTTTCCCGCACTTCTCCATCCCCAAAACTTCTCCCATGGGAAGCATTCACATCTTATATTTTCCCAGAAAGTACTTTTGATTATGTTCCCCCAAAAATGAAATTGCCCCCCATAACTCACAAATTTGCAGCAACCACCAGTCACTGAGTTCAATACTCCTTATGTCTTAGGTGGGGGTTTTGATGAACTTATCCTTAGTTGTGTTAATTGAAGGGTGAATTCACAGTCATCATGAGGTCTGTGATTCATCCAGTCATTAATCTCAGTTTAACAGAACAAGGCAGCAGAAGAGAACAATTTTGGGGGGATGGCCTGAAACCCCTTGGTCTCACCTTTGGACTGCCTCATGTTTCCATGAGGGATACCAAATTTAAAGCAATTTAAGTAACTGTTTGGATTTTAGAGCACTTACAAGAGTTGAGTTTAAAGTGCATAAAATGGCCAGGTTGGAAACATTCTAGCCATTTTTCTGTACTCATGCATGGGCAGTGTAAAAATGTACATTTTCTTAAATACTGTTCTCAATTTGGGTCCCCCAAAAATTTAGTGTGTGCCATGCACTATCTTGGGGAAAACTCAACAGACGTAGACCTTGCACCACATCAATAATATGATTTGTAATATGAGTGCAGGGGTCTGGACTAGATGACCTCTCGAGGTCCCTTCCAGTTCTATGACTTTATGATTCTAGCCCTGGGCAAAAAAAAAAAAAAAAAAAAAAAAGCACCTAGAAACTTTTTTAAAAATGGCTATTTTCAGGGTTTATGCTTCTAGAACCCTGGCTCAAATTATACAGGCAGCGTTGCAGTGAGAGACTATGCAGAGGCTGGAGTAGCAGTGAAGTTCCCCATTACCCGTAAAATCGAGCTGAAATCACTAAGAACTGGGCTAAGTGGCAGAAGCTCAGAACTCGGCATTGCAGAGGTGGCAGTAAGCAGTGGCAGAGATAACAGTGGCAAGTGGTGGCAGAGATAGCGGCAAACAGCATCAGAGAGAGCAGCAGCGCTGAGCAGTGGCAGAGGCGGCCGCCAGTGGCCAACTGTGGCAGTGGTTGCTGGCAGCGGCAGCAGTAGAGGCATTGCTCAGATTTCAGGGGTGAGAAGGGAACCCATGTAAACGCATCACTGAATTTGGGGACTTCTGTGACCTCAGACTGTGATGCTGACAAACCAAGTGCTAGCTCTTGCCCAGGCTGCAGGAATTAGCTAAGAACTAAAAAACTCATAGCTGGAGACCAGACCAGGTCACCTATATGTTAGTTTTGCTCAAAATAGGTTAATACATTATTAGACTGTATGAAGTGTTTAAATGCTATGAAATGCTTGTACATTGCTTCATGCATTAATCTCACTTGTAATGTCGGTATTCCATGCTATAAGAAAATACGTAAATTTTGCTTTATAAACTTTGAAAATGTTTGCTCTGAACTTGCGAACTCAGGCATGGGAATTGTCTCTTCTGCCCATTCAGATGGACTATCAAAATTGGATTGACTGTCAAGGAACATCACAATACAAAGGACTGGTTAATGGCCATATCATACCCTGGAAATGCTACGTGCAAGGAAGCATGTCCTGTGGATCTGAAGCTGAATGAAGGAAATAAAACAAAGTGACAGGAAAGTTTTCCATCTCTCTTTGTTGTTTAAATTCTGACAGGGCCAGAGACTCTAAACTGAGCAGAGATCCCCAGGGGTCCACTTTGAATTGACAGATCATGACAACTCTGTCACTCTTATGGTTTAGATATCTCAGTTGTGTGGATATGTCTGCTTGTTTTAACCTGTAAATAACTCTAATTTCTTTTCTCTAGTTAATAAACCTTTATGTAGTTTATTACAGGATTGGCTATGGTCATTGTCTTCGGTGTAAGATCTAGGGTACCAATTGATCTTTGGGTAAGTGACTGGTCTCTTGGGACAGGAAGCAACCTGAATATTGTAAGATTTTTGGTGTGAGTGACCATTTATCACTAAGTCCAATTTCTCTGGGTGGCAAGATAGACTGGAGAGTCTAAGGCAGCGTTTTTCAAACTTCGGGTTACGACCCAGTACTGGGTTGCGGCGTGTCAGGCACTGGGTCACTCTGGTCAGCACTGCCGACCAGGACGTTAAAAGTCCCGTTGGTGGTGCTGCCCAGCTAAGGCAGGCTGGTGCCTACCTGTTTTGATACTGCACTGTGCCCTGGAAGTGGCCAGCAGGGGGTCCGGCTTCTAGGCAGGGGGGCCATGGGGCTCTGTGCGCTGTGCCCGCCCCGAGCATCGGCCAGGGACTGACTGGGAACTGGCCAATGGGAACAGGGGAGAGGGGAGAAGGGGGAAGGGTCCTGTGGGTGAGAGTCACGCAAAGCTGCTTGTGCGCCTCCACCTAGGAGCCGGACCTGCTGCTGGTTGTTTCCAGGGTGCAGCATGGTCTGCAGTGCCAGGACAGGTGGGAAGCTTGCCTCTGCACCCCAGCTGCGCCGGTGACTGGGAGTCGCCAGAGGTAAGTCCGCATCCCAACCCCGTGTCCCAATCCCCTGCCCTAGTCCTGAGCTCCCCCAAACCTGGAACCCCTTCCTGCACCCAAACCCCTCATCGCCGGCCCTACTCCAGAGCCTACACCCCCAGCCCAGAGCCCAGAGCCCTGACCCTTTCCTGGACCGCAACCCCCTGCCCCAGCCCAGAGCCCCCTCCCACACCCTGAACCCCTCATTCCCGGCCTCGCCCTGCATCCCTCACCCCTGCACACCAACTTTCTGCCCCAGCCCTGAGCCCCTCCCACACCCCAAATCCCTCATCCCCAGTTCCATTGGGTCACGGTCATCAACAATTTTCTTCAACCTGGTTCCCAGAAACAAAGTTTGAAAACCACTGGTCTAAGGGGGCTGTCTGTGACTCCATGGTAAGCCTGTTATTGTGATCCAGGAGTTCACGTTTGTTACTGCCTTGGTGAATCTAATTTTAGAACACACCACCAGTTTGGGGTGTCTACCCTGCTTCTTAACAGTCTGCCCTAAGTTTGGTATTCTTGCTTGTGAGCCACTGCAGACAGCATGACACAGACAACCAACCATGAGAGGAGTGCAGCGGAGGGAAAGGGGAGTGGCATGTTAAAGGAACATTTGTCCATTGGACGTTCACACCAGAGGTGGGTAACTGAGGAAAGGGACACTACCCAATGTGCTGTGGGGTGGGTGTTTACTTATAGTTTGAATTGTTGTTGTGGTGTCTTCCCAAATTAATGCTGGGTTCCCTTTCAATAAAAGTTTTCTTTTGTTATACAGACTCTGTGCTTGCAAGTGGGGAAGTGTTGCCTCTTAGAGGTACTTAGGGGTGGTATTTAGTTTTCCCACGTTAATGGGTGAAGGCTTGAGCCATTTCTGTTTTGCTATGTTAAGAGAGCCCCGAAAAGATATTGAACCCAGCCCTTGTCCTGCAGACACCACCTCGCAGAGGGGTTACAGGTAATACATTTAAAACAAATTACAAATGTTAGATATTGTCAGTTACAGCAGCAACACAAATAGCAAAGCAATAGAATGTATTTCATATTCATTTATAAATAGCCTTGCCCAGGCAGAGAGAGATGGAGAAATGCCAAGTGAAAGTAATTGCTAAATGACAGGTTTCAGAGTAGCAGCTGTGTTAGTCTGTATTCGCAAAAAGAAAAGGAGGACTTGTGGAGCCTTAGAGACTAACAAATTTATTTGAGCATAAGCTTTCATGAGCTACAGCTCACTTCATCAGATGCATTCAGTGGAAAATACAGTGGGGAGATTTATATACATAGACAATATGAAACAATGGGTGTTACCATACACACTGTAACAAGAGAGTGATCACTTAAGGTGAGCTATTACCAGCAGGAGAGCGGGGGTGGGGGGGAACCTTTTGTAGTGATAATCAAGGTGGGCCATTTCCAGCAGTTGACAAGAATGTCTGAGGAACAGTGGGGGGTGGAGGGGGGGAATAAACATGGGGAAATAGTTTTACTTTGTGTACAGAGCACAGGCAATTGCATAATGTAACCTGAAGAGAATACAAAGAATTTCCAGCTCTCTGGGAGGTTGTTTTTAAGAAGAAACACTTCATTGCTGGGATACAGCTAACTATGCCCTCCCATGAGTCAGTGTACAATTCCACTGTGTGTACATATGCTCCATAGCAACAGCACATTAGCAAGTGGGGAGGCTCAAGGGAGCTGTTTGTCTGGAGGTTTCCCTTCTCTTACAGAGAAAATTAAATTACATGAAAAAGACTGATGGGCAATAATGAAATGAAAACCTCAGCAGGCACAGTGGGGAATAGGGAGGGATGAGGTGTCTCCAGGGCTCTGGAGTTCTAGCTGGGTTTGCAAGAATTGCTGTAGCAGCTGAGGAATTCAGAGCGCCCGGGAAGACAGCAAACTCAAAAACCTGCTGAGAGAGTAAGCAAGTCTCCCAATTCCCTGTGCCCCAGGCTTCTCTGCAGGACCTGCAACAGAGCTTACAGTAGGAGCTTACGCTCTCCCCAAAAGGGTGAGTTTCTAACTCCAATAATTGCAAATCTGGGCAAGGGATAATGATAGAGACAATCATAAAAACTCTCAGGATAGTTGTCTTAAGGACAAATAGAGAGGGGCTTTTATTGTTTTGCAAACCACCAGCTGGAGTAGTTTTGCAAAACTAAAGCTGTGTGTAGTTTGAATCTAAGTACCATTTTAACTGAATTTGCAAAATCCTGAGATGGAAAGCAATTGGATCAGTGGTTTTGTTTACTGCTAGTCAAAAGTCCCCTGTTCTGTAGTGTTGGATGCTATATATGGAAAAAACTTGAAGGTGTAGTAAATGTGCACCTTTCTTTTAACATTACAAGGACAGTTTGTGAACTTCACTGTCCAGCTGTCAGTCATCTTCTATCTCATTGTCTTTGGTTACTTTGTGTGCTGCTGCAGATGGAGGAGGCAGGGGGATGTGTGACTGAATCAGGGGGAGGAGCTGAGCTCAGCCCTTCTACTCCTGAACCTGCACAGCAAGAAGCAGTCCAAGAACCAAGAGAGGCCTTAATTGTCTCCAAGCCTGACACTGAGCTCAGTCCGCCTCTAATCACTATCAACAAAGGTAGGGGAGGAAGTAATGGGAAATGCTTTATATTGACGCTATTTGGGAAACGGTTTTCTAGGAACAAAAAAAGAAACTCACTATTCAATAGAATTTTTCATTTTAAAACAGGCCCCTACAGCTGTAGGGAAGGTAGGGCCTAAATTAACAAAGGCTCAGAATCACAAAGCTCATGGTGTGAAGCAGGGGTGCTGAAAACCCAGAAGTGCAGCCTAACGAGGCACTGAAGTTGCGTGGCTTATCCTGGAGAAGAGTGAGACTCCTAGGGAGTCTGGCATGCTGAAGGGGTCCTCCCAGAGACTGTTCCAAAGCTGGGGCCAGAGCACCGATCCTGTGGATCCATGACAATATTGTTCAGTACTTTCAATTAAATGATAAAGACAATAAGGTGAGGGCTTCTTTAGGAGACAGGAAAAGCAATATTTAGGAGTTATCTAATAACTAGAGCAAAAGAGGAAAGAGCTCAACAAAAATAGGTAACAACAGATTCATAGGACTACAGATTAGAAAAAAATATTGACAGATAACTAATACTGTGGAGAAATTGAATATGCTGATGATAAACATTACTGAAAACCTCTAAGGTGTATATATAACAGAATGTCTATGAGAAAGAAAATACATGTGACAAGTTGTTGGTTCATGAACTTGAAGGGGTTCAAAAGCAGTCTCACCGGTTAAAATGATCAGCAAGAGGAAGTTACACATCCTAGTGAAATATGTGTATTTTCCATTGTAATCATAGTAACTTTCATATTCTAGTTATTCCATATGCTGAAGTTATTAAAACATAACTGGAAGTAGGAGGCTTGCCAAAAATATGTGAGATTGATCATGAAAATTTAGATGAAGAAATAACAGAGGAGTCTTAGAGGCAGTAGCAACTATGAAAAGTGGTGAAATTCCAGGGTCTAACAGCTTTCCAGCTTAATTTTAAAATGTATTTAGGAGGTATTAGTAGGTTCTTTAATGGATATTATTAATACTGCTATGGAAGCATAGCAGGCTGTGACCCAGAGTCTGCTTCTCCCAGCTAGTCCTTTTTAATTATTTCCATCTTGCTCTGTCCTGACTGGCTGCGAAGCCTCTCAAATAAAATTTGAAACAAAAACCTTCACACCAAAATAATCCTTTTCTCCCCAGGCATTTCTGCTAGGGTGCAGTTTTCCTAATGTTCCTCCACAGTTTGGAGGCAGAGTCAGAACAATTCAGTCTCTTTCTCCCTTGCCTGGGAGAATTTAGTTTATAGTCCACAAAGGAATTCAACAAGCTAGCATTAACACGTGTAACAACCTGTCCTGAACTCAGAGGTCATCAGCCCTGATCCAGCAATGTACTTAGGCGTATGCTTAGCTTTAACCATCTGAGTAAATCCATTGTCTTCATTGGGACCACTCATACATTTAAAGGTGAGCACATTCTGGAGTGTTTTGCTAGATCAGGGCTAGAGTTCTCAGCACTTTGCAGGACTGTGACCTTATTACTGTTGCTCCTTTGGCCTGAGCAGTTAACAGATATTCTGGACATTGCTCTGCGTCACCAAATAGTAAGGTGTGGTTTCACCCATGCTCTGCCCCCAGGCTCCTTTCTGCCTGCTTCCCGCTCGTGGCTGGAGTCCAGTTTCCCTGTGGGGTAGCCCCAGCTTGGGCTGTGCCACCCACCCTCCTTGTGCTCCTGGGCTGGGTGGGGGTTTTGGCCGTGCCACCCACTTTTCCTTCGCTCCAGGGCTGGGGGAGCTGCAGCTGTGCTGCCAGCCCTCCCGGTGTTCCTGGGCTGGTGGGGGGAGCTAGCGGCTCCGATGGGGGGGCTCTGGGCTCCGGTGGGGGGTGTGGAAGGGGTGGGGCCTTGGGTGGAAGGGGTGTGGCAGAGGGCTAGCCTCTCCCACCCGGTGATTCACGTGCTACCCATGGCCATAGGTGCTGACTTCTAATGGTGCTGGTGGGTGCTCGACCCCCCTCTGGCCCTGGCCATGCCCTGCCCCCTCCCGCCCCTTTCCCAAAGTCCCCGACTCAACTCCGCCCCCTCCCTGCCCCTATTCAACTCATTTCCCCAAATCCCCAGCCCTGCCTCTTCCCCACCTCCTCTCCTGAGCGTGCCACGTTCCCACTCCTCCCCCTTCCCTCCCAGAGCTTGCTACGGCTGTTTGGCGGTGGCAAGCGCTGGGAGGAGGGGAGGAGCGGGGATGCCTTGTGCTCAGGGGAGGAGGCAGAGGAGGAGGTGAGGCCAGGGGAGGGGCGGGGAGCTTGGCTGCTGGTGGGTGCAGAGCATCCACTAATTTTTCCCTGTGGGGGCTCCAGCCCCAGAGCATTCACGGAATCGGTGCCTATGCCCATGGCAGCTTGTTTCCATTAGGAGAACTCTAAGCCTGCCTTTCCAGCTACCACTCTGCCCCAAGAGCCACATTACCAGAATTTCTCCTGCTTTTTGCTTTGTGTCTGCTCTCTGGTTCACTATTTACACATGCCCTGATGGACAGCAGCAACCATATCAATCCCTGGACCCGAGTTTGCATTCACTTTAGTCCTTGGGCAACGGCGTTCATTGTTTTAGCTATCACTAAATGAAGGGGCATTTAATCGATCCCTCATTCACCTGAATGGAAGGTGACTAGCATGACCATCAGCTTCACTGTAGTTTCTGATTGTCCATAGATCAGACATGTTTGCTAGGAGCCTCCCAACATCCAGCATAACAATATAGTGCTGATTCAGGGCCTCAACACCCAAATGTCCTAATAGCCAGACACATTCACAGACTCTTCCATTCCACAACAGACTCCCTGTCTATTCCAACATACAGCCACCTACCATGCATGCATCCAGTTCTTCACAGTCACACACAAGCTCAGGGCAACTGCACCTGCATTTCCCCTCAGTGGTCCAGCAAAGGCACCCACTCTCAGGCTTCCAGCTCCCCAGCCTTTGCTTTTTGTGGGTGGAGACCTGTGTCCCTGTCTCTCCTGACCAGAGTATCTCTAGGTTGAACGGTTCCTTGTCTGCACTGTGTTATTCCCAGCAAAGAAGAGTCTGCCTAAGCAGGCCTGTTTGCCTGTCCCCTCAGTGACAGTACACAGCGTGAGTGCCCACAGTTATAAGTTATCACACAGCTTTTCCTAAGCAAGCATATTTTATTCTTAAGGTAAAAGCACTACAGAGAAAACATATTAAAACAATAAAAGAACCCCTACCCATGCTAATAAGCTTACCGGAGATCATCATCCACCCCCCCGGCCAAAGGCTCTGGTCAGAGTGTCAGTCCTTCCAACCGTTCCCTACGAATACCCTCCCCCTGCTGTAGAATGAAGATCTTGTCCATTTGCTGGATCAGATCAAAAGCTCTGAAGCTGTTTAAAACCAGGCTACTTATCCAGAAATCCGCTCTTTGTCTGTTGGTCCCTGGAGAATCCAGTTTGAACAATATATGTGAACCTCTCTAGGAAGGTGGCTTCAAAGGACTGATAACTGAAAGAATTACTTTTGCAGACATCATCCGAGAGCAGTTACATATTATCTCACAATAACACTTGAACAACTACATTTTGAATATTATGGACCCCCAAAGTATTAAACTCAATTCAGTAAGGTTTGTCCAGGATATTGTAGGATATTATTAATTTATCATGTTAAGGTTGTGAGTTAGTGTGACTGTGAGGGAAAGGATTTGCATTGTGGATAATTGTGTTTTGGAAAAGAAAGGAACTTTGTTGTGTGGCTGAGGAGTCTGTGTGTGTATTTGTGTGGTAAGGCATGTAAATGGATGTTGATACTGGTTTACCTTGTGATTTCCTTCATTTTGAATAATTGTTTTTAAAGGAAATGCACTTAAGCAACCTCATGTATGGGAATATTACATCAAGGGAGCAGGAAAAACATATTTTTAATATAAGAGATAGAAAGACCATTCAGAACAATAAAGGATGCTCTATCCCGAAACTGGAATTTTTAAAAAAATAGTCAACTTAAAAAAAACGAAGTTCACAGAGTCCTTTTAATTTTTAGAGGGGCACAATTTTAGTTTCTGTCTGTATTATTTGTCTGGAATCACACAGTACAGGATTTTTTCCCATCAGTGAGATAGAATACTGATGAAGCATCAGTGTATGTTTTTTAAGGATAGCTCTAGGACTGGTAAAAAAAACTTCTGTCAAAATTGAAACAGAAAATTGGGTTTTTCAACTAAACTACAACTCCCATGAGGCACTATATAGGCATTTTGAATAAAAAAATGTTTATTTTCAGCTGCAAGGCTGATAATGTTAGGTTTTCAGCCAGAAGTTTTTAGTTTTTGACTGAATTTTTAAATTTTAACTTTTCATCAAAATTTTCCATTGGGGAAAAAAGACTGTATTCCAACTTGCTCTAGATAGCACATACTTGATATATTTCAGTATCCTGAACATATAAATGACTGCAAAGTGGATTTTATTATTATTTAATATTGGTATTATGATAGCATCCAGAGGCCCAATCAGGACCAGGGCTTCATTGTTCTAGATGCTGTACAAACATATATGAAGACACAATCCCTCCCACAGCGAGCTTGCAAGACAAGCGACATACAAAGAGTAGTGGAAGACAGTTACAATTAAATATGTACATTTACACATTTTCAGTTTTCTTCTAATAATAATTATAAGTAGTCCAGTTCTGCAAACATTACTTTCCTTGAGGAGCGCTGCACTCCAAATTAAAAGTACTGCTCACAGGGTAAGGTACAATTTGAGTAAGGGTAGCAAAATCAAGCCCAAAGGCATTGATTTCTTAGAGACACTGTCACAGAGGTAGGTCTTGAGGAGACAGTAATGGCACTATGGATTAGTTCAGGGAAAGTTTTGCATTCTTCCTGTCAAATACGTATGCATGTATTTGTTTGATGTATGATGCAGTGTTACAATTTTTTTCAATTAACATGTAACAAAAAAATCTCCAAAATGATTGTGCATGTGGTACTATTCTGTTGTTAAATAGACACTCCCTCAGTTTCACTTGCACCAAGGAAGGGCTCGCGGATCTATAATTCCCAGAATTTTCCTTGGTTCCTTTTCAAAGATAGGAAAGTTGCTATAAAGCATCTATCATCACTTGTGATTGCTGGTGTTAAAGATGCACTGTATTGCATCTACAGCCAGTTAATATGAATAACTATAGCTTGCCATTTCTTTATCCTAGATGGTGAAGGAAAGGGCCACAGGCGTGGAGGTGCCTTTAAGAAGATCACTGAGCCAGGATCAGCTATAAGAGTGTCATCTTCAACTGCTGCTGTTTCGGCAAGCGATTTCATTTTAAAAGCTCGTCACCTAACTTTTGTCTTTTAACTATCAAAGCTTTTCCTTTACAGATCATTCCTGAAGGGTTCATTGTCAAAATGCAGTTGCTAAATTTGGTACAGACCTGCAAGGTGCTAAGGCCTGGATCCTCAAAGATATTTAGGTGTTTAATTCCCATTGAAATCAATGGGAGTTAGGCACCTGCATACCTTTGAGGATCTAGGCCTAAGTGCCTTTCGGATGATGCCGAGTTCCTTCAGCCTGCTGCAGTTGAATGACCAGCAGTTCCTAGGAAGCCCTCATGACATGTGCAGAAGCAGACCTGTTATTTTCTGTGGGTTACAATATTTTTATATTTGGTTTCAGTGTCACACACTGGTTCACCCCTTTTCTTTGTCTTCATAGGTTAAAGATAACCTAGGAAGACTTGACTAAGTGCTTCACAAACAAAGGGAAGGAAGCTTACAATATATTCCAGATAATTCAGCTGAGGAGTGTATCCTCATTCTGCTTTCATTCATGATCTGAATAAAAATGTCAATCTGCTGTATACCTTCTCTGTGTCACAATCCTCACTCAGAAAAGAATTTAAAAATATCCTACAGCAGTGGAATTGTCAAAAAACAACAACAACAAAACCTACATCAGATGATATATATAAAATGATACTTGATTAGTCACCTAATAACCATATTAAGAGACAAGGAGGGACTGAATTTCCAGTATTTTATCCATCACAGAGATGATAAACTCTTACTGCAGTGACATTATCTGGAGCACTGTTTAAGAATGGCACCACTAACTGCTCTAAATTAAACACATATACTCCTGTTATACCTCGCCATTATCACTAATAATTATACATTCAAGTGGTAAGTCTTCTGACTCTTGTTGAATGATATTTGGCTTGAGGGATACTGGAATTGGAACTTTCATCCTTGGCATAGTCTAATACAAAACAACAAAATCTGTTACTGGCATGGAAGTCATAGCTGATACGTTGATAATAGAGATGGCTCATGAATAGAAGAATTCTGTGTGGATCAGAAAAATGCTTCTCTCAGAGGCATAACAATAGATTTGCCCAGTAACTAGTTATTTAGCTCCTCTTCCTGTGGTAAGGGAAATGCTTCTGAGAGGTAGGAAAGGATGCTTAGAAATATCAGGACAGATTTTCTGGTGCAAGACTGAAGGGTAGGGGAAAGGATGGCTTTAGGCCACATCTATGCTCCCCAATTCAGTGACCAAGTGGGGGTCAACCCAATCTCTGAGGTAATTAAGAGCATGCTAACAGCTGCTATAATTTGTGTCTCAGTGTCCTGTACCCCAAGAGCTGTTCCATTAGCTGGAGATTGCTGGAGTAGAAGGACATTGTGGCTGCATCCCATTTTCCCCAGCTATACCTCCTGCACAGGGAGGAGGGGAGTTGTAAGAATCATAGAATATCAGGGTTGGAAGGGACCCCAGAAGGTCATCTAGTCCAACCCCCTGCTCGAAGCAGGACCAATTCCCAGTTAAATCATCCCAGCCAGGGCTTTGTCAAGCCTGACCTTAAAAACCTCTAAGGAAGGAGATTCTACCGCCTCCCTAGGTAACGCATTCCAGTGTTTCACCACCCTCCTAGTGAAAAAGTTTTTCCTAATATCCAATCTAAACCTCCCCCACTGCAACTTGAGACCATTACTCCTCGTTCTGTCATCTGCTACCATTGAGAACAGTCTAGAGCCATCCTCTTTGGAACCCCCTTTCAGGTAGTTGAAAGCAGCTATCAAATCCCCCCTCATTCTTCTCTTCTGCAGGCTAAGCAATCCCAGCTCCCTCAGCCTCTCCTCATAACTCATGTGTTCCAGACCCCTAATCATTTTTGTTGCCCTTCGCTGGACTCTCTCCAATTTATCCACATCCTTCTTGAAGTGTGGGGCCCAAAACTGGACACAGTACTCCAGATGAGGCCTCACCAATGTCGAATAGAGGGGAACGATCACGTCCCTCGATCTGCTCGCTATGCCCCTACTTATACATCCCAAAATGCCATTGGCCTTCTTGGCAACAAGGGCACACTGCTGACTCAAGAGCCACTAAGGCAGCCCCATACCAGACAAGCAGTCTCCTGCAGATGAAGGGAATGCTCTGGTTGGTGGTTAAGATGGCTGTATGACTGCTTTATGCCAGAGGATCCTACAAACCAGAGGACCTGGCTCATTGGAATGAATCTTTACTTTTCATTTTTCTATGAGGTGTATATTTCTTCTTATAAAATTGGTAAAGATTTGCTATTTATTCCAAAATTTCTTCTTCACCATGTGCTTTCCTCCTTATTATACAGATCTGAAGATTGTTTAAAAATCCTTTGTCTGTGTGGGCTTTTCTCTTTCCATTTCTATTACAGTCCTTCTCTGAGCTACATCTGAAAGCCCAGTTAAACATGTTCCAGGGAGAAAGGAGAGTGAGGATGATGGTGATTTTGCTGTGGAGCTGTTTGTTTGTTTCTGTTGAGTAACACTCTTGCAATGGTAGTTCACAGTGCTGACAGTAGAGATGGGAATGGACCAAAAGCTGAGAAATGAACACTTAGAGGTTTGGAAGCTGGATTCCCAGAGTTCAGCATCTATGGATTAGGTCCAGTTTTGACATATGTTTTTATTGTGAATTTAGGTCTGAATACACCTCTATTTCTGGGGTGCAGATGTGAAGTTTTAATTGTACTGGCCCTATAATGTGTAATATTTTTGGCTTGGTGAGTTCCCTAGAACTGATGTTCCTCTCTTTTTTTTATTTAACTTTTTAATGGTATTTTCTTGTACAATGTTGTAGATATCAATCTATGCAGCTATTTGTATTACTGTAAAATAAGAACTTAAAAAAACTTTTTAAAATGTGTTAAGAAGCATTTCACTAAGCCAAGTAATGTACCTTCCATCAAATCTCCCTGTTTAAAGAATTTTCGAAACTGTCTTAAAAAGCAACAGCATATGCTGCTTAAATGTTAAATGAGAAAAAGGGTGCTGAAAAATAATACATTTTCTAAAACATTTTTATCTTCTAGCCAAATGGGAAGAAAAATGTAGTGCTGTCCAGTGAAGCTAAGAAAGAATTGGCCAAGCAGGCCAAAGTCACCAAGGAGGAGAGAAGAGCTCAGTTAGACAACAGACACAAGTATTTGATATTAAGATTAGCAGATGGGATAGGCTTAAATGAACAGGAAGTAGAGGACTTTGTTATTTCTGATGAAAAGGTAATACTTATTTTGTATGTATTCAATGCTTCCTAAATTGCCATACATCAGATTTTTCTCAGAATATTTTATAATTAACTAGCACTATAATTTTGTTTTAGTTTCAGCTTGTAGGAGAATTCTTTGCGGAGAGCGGACTTAAAAAGTTACTTTTTTTTTACCAAGATGCATGGCAGGTATGTTTCTAGCATTACTGTTGCAAATAGCAAAGTTAGATTAAAACATTTTTGAAAGGCAATTTCATATTTATCAGAAAATCTTAAAGAGCATTCTCTTACATATACATTTGTATTTTCAAACCATAGGTCTAATTCTGCTCCCTCTGAAGTCACTGGCAAAATCCCCATTGACTTCAGTGGGAACTGGAGCAGCCTCTCTTGATATGGTATGGTACGGTTTGATTCTTAATCTCAGTAGAAAACAGAAGACTCAGAAATGGCCAAAAGAGGAAGTTATCAAGATTTCAAAAGGGATTGACTGTTCACTTTGGCAAACTGTTCACTATGATAAGGCACTCAAAAACTAGGGGAACTAATTGTGAAAACAGGAGACTTGGACCAACTATTTCATTCTTCCCCTCTGGTCTGAACCATGCCCAGCTCTAGTGACAGGGAAGCACTGATTCAAAAGAGTAGAAAAAACGAAAAATGTATCAGTTCCTGCTAAATCACAATGGCCCCCATGTTCTCCTCTATTACATACTATGGAGGGGAGCAAAGAAGCAGACTAAAGTAGTGGAGAGAGAGGGAGTGGTGCCCTGTACCATGTTTCTCCCTCCCTGGATGCTTATTAAAGCTCCCCCATTAATAGAGAGGGCCAAATCCCTAACCCCAACTAAGGTGATTTGGTGATGCTAGAGTGGCACAAAGGGACCTTAAAATTGCCCTAAAGGGGTAGCTGAGGATTCCTCCAGCTTACACTGGTTTTCTCCAAGTCCCTTCTGGTCCCCCAATACAGGGAGTATGTTGAGACCAGCTGGAGGCAAGAGGAAGCATTTGGGACTGTGAAGGGGAGAACTGGAATGTGATGCACTCCCTGTCAAAGGGAATGGTCCCTTGGGGATTGTTTTGGCTGATGTAAGTTAGAACAGCCCTGTTGCTGCTCTGACTGGTTCTGAAGACTGATTTGACCACTGTTACCGCAGGATCAATGGAGCTGTGAAGGTAACTTAGCCTCCTTTGCCTCCTTACCATCTCAGCTGCATTCTGTTCACCTGGTGCAGTAGGTAGGTTTGCAGGGATTGTTTTTGGGCAGCAAGAATGGTGATGGGGAGCTGTCACAATCTGGCACTACCTGGGGGTCTGGTGGATTTCAGAGCAGAAATCTACACAGCAGTAAATTTTGGTCAGACCTTTGCTTCTCCCCTTCTTCAGAGGGACTGGAAAGTAGTGTGTGCAAGCGCAGTAAAGGTAGACAGTGACAGCACGGCTTGTGTGAGAGCTAAAGTTTTCAGAAGGAGGGATGCAAATGTTCCCTTGCACTTTCTCCAAGATCCACAAGGTTGGGCACTAAATTCTCCATGGATCCAGCAGATGTGTAAAGGTTCAGAGCTGTGCTCTCTGCTCTTTCCATGTGGCTTTGAACGATTTGTTCCAATGAAGGAGGCTTGCCTATGAAACATTGCAAGCTAAGTTTTCTGACATTTCCCCCCTCCTCCTCTGAGTTTTTCTGTGAGAGGGGAACTTTAAAACCAGTTTCAGGAGGCTTTGATTGTGCACTCGTTATTCAGATAAAACTGAGCCAAGGATTAGGTCTAGAGCTATGGATTCATCTCTGATTCAGAATAAACTATAGTTATAGTTCATACATTTAATTACATAATGATTAATAGTTTCTATGGAATTTTTATTTTAGTAACATCTTATTTATAATTTAATTGGCAGCAAAAGTCAAATGTTCCTTTGAGGACAGATGGGTCTTCCCCAAGTTCACTTTTGCAGAAGAAGTTATTTATTACCATGGGTTCTACCGAGGTATGATCCATTTATTCCTTATATTAAATTTGTGAATGCTTTCACGATGGAAAATGTGGTATACTGGTAAGCGCTAAATATTGTGCAATGTTAAAATAGCTTTATATAATTGTTAGATATACAATGTCTCCATAATTGCAAATTCTCCCACCAGATTATAAACTGAGACAGGAATTCTACAGGAAAGCTGACTTTGAAGGCAATGATGTTTAACAGGTTTCAGAGCTCATTGTCAGGAGGAGAGCTGGTCAAATAATTCATTGTTAATAGTATTGTAAGTGTTGGAAGTTTTTTTTAAACAAGTGCTTTTAATTCATGAATTATATTTTTCACTATTCCATCATTTCTAGTTTAGAGGTGGAACCCACAATAAAAAGAGATTTTTGTTCTTTAAAATGTACATATTTTTTGAGAATGTATATTTTAAAGGATAAAAATTTTGTATATTCTTCCAACAAAATAATTTTAGTTTTGATTCTATTCTATTCTATATAGGGAATATCTCCCCCATCACTGTAATATCGGAGCGTCTTCTATTAGTGCACTAAGTGACATTTGGGCTCAGGCTCCGAATAGCAGTTGTGGAGGTAAACAACTTAATTAGTTTTAAGCTGAACAAATTAATGAATGCAGTTTTGTGATGCGGTTGCTTGTGATGGTGGGGAGCAAGGTTCAACAGCTCTGGAGCTCACTTCTAAATTATATCTTATGTTCCTAAAGCTCATGCTTCAGGGTTTCAGCCTGCCACTAGCAGGAGTCAGGAAAGAATCACCCCAATGTATTCTGAGAGAGGTTTTTATCTTTTTCCTCTGCAGCACCAGGGATGGCCACAGCTGGAGATGGGACATTGGGTGGGGTAGGCCAGGACTCTGAGGTGGCACCAAGTATTCTCTCTCTCAGATGCTTGGCTGGCTGATTCTTGCTCATATGCTCAGTGTCTAACTGATCACCAGCTGTGAGTCAGGAAGGAATTTCCCCCCAGATCAGATTGGCAGTGATCTTTGGGAGGGGAGGGAGGTTGTATTTGTCTTCAGTGTGTGGGTGCAAGTCACTTGGCAGAAGTATCTGGATATATCTCCTTTAACTATTTCCCTGCCATTGTGGGGGCCTTGAGTACTGATGCATCTCAGTCCCCCCATTCTCTGTCTGTGGCACATAATTATCTAATCTCTTGTGGGTTGTAATACTTGCCTCTCGTTTCGATTGTTGAGTTTAGTCTGTGGGTGCTGGGTGGTGTTGGTGGTCTGTGTTATACACGAGGTCAGACCAGAATATCTGATGGTCCTGTTTGACCTCCTGTTTGACCTTAAACTCTATGATTTTGTCAGCAGGGTCCACATGATCATGTAGTGCGCAGCAGGTTAGTGTGGGGTAGATTTACACTCCGGCTTGTTGCAAACTAAGTGTTTGTGTAGACAAGCCCTCAGAAAAGGCATGTTAAAAAAGAGTGTCTTGCATTTGGAGTACTCAGTGGTGAGGTTTGTGATGATCTTTAATTCCTGGGGAACTATATTTGTGGACTTGGAGTACTGAAAGCACCAATTTCTTTGCTCAGCGATTAGAGAATTCTGCTGAACCAGCCCTTCCTGATGGAACTAGAAGAAAGCTCAAGCGTTTCATGAAAACCATTGGTGGCTTGGTGCTAACAAAGCTGTCGTTTCATACTGACTCAATTATGTTGTACAAATATAAGGTTATATTTCTAGAACTGATGCCTATATTAGATTACTCTTGTGTATATATTTTGCAGTGTTTAACAATACAATATGGGAATATGGCCTTATTAGCCCTTATACTTTCTCCGCCATGTAAATAAGCATTTGTTTAATACAGGTGAAAGCTATATACTGAAAAGTCAAAACTTGAATTCTATCAATTTAAGATTTGTGTAGAGAATTCTGATAAATGTGAAAGTATTTAGCTCTGTGTATTGAAAGTAGTATATTTTTATCCATGCAATGCTATGTGCAGGCCACCAGCTCGTAGAGAAGTCTAAACCATGAAAGCTCAGCCTCTTGCACAGATGAGCTTTACCTTATTGCAGAAAGTCCTGCTGTGCCTAAGGAGTTGAGTAATGGTCCTCGTCCCGGAGCTTTAGCGATCTTTTAGATATGCTGTGCCCTGGCCATTGAGTGCCTTCAAGATAAGGACAGAGACCTTGGCTTAACGTTTTATGGGAAGCCAGGGTAGAGTGCTAAGGACAGGTATGATGGCCTGTGTTGCTGAGAAGATGCACTGCAGTGTTCTCTACTAGTTGGAGTTTCCTAATGGATGATGATTTCATGCCCACAGGGCTGGCCTTAGGGCTGGGCAAACGGGGCCCACGCCCAGGGGGCTGTAGCCAGGAGGTTGCCACAAGGGGCTCGAGCTTCCCTGGATGGCTGTGGCCAGACTCCTCTCTTCTCCGGCCCCTCCCCTGCGCTGGGCTGGTGGGCTTCTCCCGCCCCTCTGGCCTCTCCCTCACTGGCTCCTCAGCCAGCCAGCTGAGGGCTCTGGCTCTGCCCCAGCCCCGGGGAGCCCAGAGCAGCACAATCGGGGCTGGTCACTGGCAGCACGGCCCACTGCTTGCTGCCCAGAGCGGAGCCGAGTCCCTCCCTGCCTGCGGCCCCGCACTGCTCGGTCTCCGGCGGGTCCAGCCAGGCTGGGGCCAGGAGGAGCAAAACTTCCACATGAGTGGTGTGGGGGTGGGGAGCTGGGAGGCAGGGGGGGGCTTAAAGTGACAGTGTGCTCACTGTCTCGCAAATTTCCCTAACACACACACACACAGGCTCTCACACCCACATACACACTGTCTCTCACAGTCCCCCAACACAGATTGTGTGTGTGTGTGTGTGAGACAGTCTCACACTCCTGAACATACACACTGGTTCTCACACAGTCTCACACACACACACACACACACACTGTCTGTCTCACACAGACTGGCTCTCACACCCCATACACTCTGCCTCTCTCAGTCCCCCAACACAGATTGTCACACACACACAGAGTCTCACACTCCCCAACACACACTCTGTCACACAGTCCCACAACACACACACACAGGCTCTCTGTCTCTCTCTCTCTCTCATACACATACACACTCTGTCACCCACCCACACACACATACTTGTTTTATTATTGTTGTTATTACTGCTTAGTACTTCCTGTCAAAATGCTTGTGGTGAGCCAGGAGTGGCTACGGGGCTGCAGGAGGGCCGCGGGCTCTGACATGATGCAGCCCCCATGTGACAGTGCAAAGCCTGCCTTGAGCCACAGGCCAAGTGCCAGGCACCACAGCAGTACAGAAGTAAGTGTGGCAATACACCATATACCATGCCACCCTTCCTTCTGCGCTTCTGCTTACAGTGGTCTAGGAATTTGCTAGTTGTAGCAGTTACGCATTGTGAGGTTATCTGATTAAAACATGACCATGTAGATCATTGTTGCAACCACTGTTATATATTTGCAACAAATCTTGTACAAAATGTGGCATGTATGAAAAGGTTATGGTTTGGTGAATATGTTTATGCTATTCGTATGCATGTATCATTTTTGTGTTTGAAGTTATGAGTATTGGCTCTATACCTGTATTTCAAATGTTTGCTCCTGGGGTAACACCCACAAGGTAGTTACCCAGCACATCTTAAAGGGACTAGTCAAACTAAGTGGCTCATCAAGGGAGACTTAACTCACAGTGGACCATAGGAGACACCCATCTACGTTGATTGGACTTTCCTGTGGACATTCCATATGAAGTATATGTAATGGCCCAGAGGTGATGGGGTGGGAGGAGCCCAGGGAGCCCGTAGGAGCCAAGGGTGATAGTGGGAGGTGGAGGGTGGGCACCAAAATACAAATTTGCCAAGGCCACCATATCCACTAAGGCCAGCCCTGCATGCCCAGATATATTGTATTGCTGCAGTCCAGCTGAAAGGTAGCAAAGGCATATAAGCTAAGGTCATGCGTTTGGGGTGGAGTCCAACTGGAGATTCATAGAAAGCGTTACCCATGGATGCTGCTTTGTGAGAACTTAGGGTCAGTGAAGAAACAAGAACACTCAAACTGTGGATTAAATTGTCCAATTATGGATCTATCCTTTAACCAAAGGTGACTGCATTATGCCTGCAAACTTTCAAAATGCTTTCCTCAACTCACCATATGAAAAGGAGGGAGGGAGAAAGAACAGAAGGGAGAGAAAGGAGTGAAAACATCCCCAGAATCCAAAACCTTTCTAGAAAACTGAAGTTTTTTGTTTCCAAAAAACTTTAACAAAATGTCATGTAAATTGTAATGGAACAAAATTTTCATTCAAATTTTCTGACTGGAAAATAAAACATTTGGACAAAAATCAATATTTTCTTGCGGAATTTTTTTTCACAAAACAACATTTTCTGACAGAAAAAACTTTTGTGCAAATATTTTTGACCATCTCTAGTTGCATATGTCTGTATGGTGTCTAGCACAGTCGGGCTCTCATCTTTGATTGGGGTTCCTAAGTATTATCATAATATAAATAAATAATAAAGAGAAACATGAAGCACAGAATTTTATTCAGATTTATAAGATTTTCATTTTATTTGTAAGCTCATTTAGCTGTAGATACTTGTAATTTATCCGAGTGTTGTCTGAGAAACTGATAGTCCAGTTTGCCCATGGTTCTAATCCACCAGGAAGGAAAAAGCTGATGTTAGACATTTAAAAATGTATTTGTATTGAAAAAAATACACTTTTAGGGATTTTTTAAAATTAAATAAATGGAAGGAAAGAATATTCCAAAATGGTTCATTCTGGCCTAAAAATACAATGAATCTATGAAAGTACTTGAAATGCTTGAAAATTGAACTTTTCCTCCGGTATGTTCAATGAATTAATGCCAGCTGAGAAACAAAGCTGAGTGATTGATATTTGAGAACCAGTTATTTGCCTATAAATGTACAGTAGTTTCAGGAAATAGTTTGTTAAATATTTTTTCGAGTAATTGATTTTCTTTATGATTTAGTTTTTGTCTCTTTCCAATTTGTTGAGTATATTATTTTTACTTGTATGTGTGTTATATGTCTTTTTTACAGGGCTTAACAGGAACTTGTGCATTTTTTCTAAGGACTACAGATAAAGCAATAACTACTGCAAATATCTCTCAGGTCAGGCAAAAATCAGATAATGTTTACAGCTTGCTTAAAATTTTGGATTTGATCCTACAAACCTTTACTCACACAACTAGTCTCAATGGAGTCAGATAAAGCAGCAGGGAGTATTTGCATGAAAAGGGCTACTTGGATATGTTAGGATGTTCCTTTATGATCTGGAAAAATATTTACAGCCTAGCAGTGTTCTGATGTGAATAATTATGCAGGTAGCTATTCACAGGATTTATGATGAACATCAGCAAAGGTGTAATGACCCATTGTATGAGTAACATTCCCTTATTTTCCTAAGTGAAAATGTAAAATTCAATAGAGAAATGTTTAAGGGCCTAAATCTGCAGACTTTACTCATATGACTAATTCTTACTTGTGCAAGTAACCCAAATAAAGTAAATGGGGCTGATCACATGAGTAAGGGTTGTGAGATGAGGCCTAAGTCCAGAATCATAATCAGAGGATTAAGGAAGGATACTTGGGATTCAGGCCCAGACGTCTAAGCCATGGTGAGCAAACTTTTTGGCCTGAGGGCCACATCTGGGTATAGAAATTATATGGCTGGCCATGAATGCTCATGAAATTGGGGGTTGGGGTGTGGGAGCAGGTGAGGGCTCTGGCTGGGGATGCAGGCTCTGGAGTGGGGCCAGAAATGAGGAGTTGAGGGTGCAGGAGGGGGCTCGGGGCTGGGGCAGGAGGTTGGGGTGCAAGCTCTGGGGTGGGGTTAGGGATGAAGGGTTTGGGGTGCAGGAGGGGGGGAGGGGGATCAGGGCTGGGGCAGGGGGTTGTGGTGCAGGAGGGGCTCAGGGGTGCAGGCTTTGGGTGGCGCTTACCTCAAGCAGCTTCTGGAAGCAGCAGCATGTCCTCCCTCTGGCTCCTACGTGGAGGCATGGCTAGGCGGTTCTGCGTGCTGCCCCATTTGCAGGCGCCACCCCCACAGCTCCCGGAAGCAGCGGCATGTCCCCCTCCAGCTCCTACTGCCAATGGGAGCTGCAGACCCAGCACTTGGGGCGGGGGCAGTGTGCAGAGCCCCCTGGATTCCCCTATGTGTAGCAGCCAGACAGGGGACATGCTGCTGCTTCCGAGAGCCACGTGGAGCCGGGCAAGCCCCAGACCCTGCTCCCCAGCAGGAGCTTAAGAGCTGGATTAAAAGGTCTGACACGCTGGACATGGCCTGTGGGCTGCAGTTTGCCCGCCCCGGTCTAAGCAGACTCAACACAGCAGTGAGTCAGTGAGACACTAAGTTTATAGGTAGGCGAGGAGATCAATATTTTGGAATGCACTTGGAGGAAACAGTGAAGTAGACCTATCTGGGGTAGGGAGGAACAGTTGTTTTGAGAGAGATTAGGATAAATGAGTGAATGGAGTCTGAGAAAGCAGCTCCATGATGTGAGAACATGAAGTTTTGGTGTTTCCAGGCCCCATTTAATCTTTACCCACAAGTCAGAAGGACCCCAAATAGGAATAAATCATTAGAATTCAGGAATAAAGAGAGTTCTGCAGGATGTAGCTACTGAAGCTCCTGAATTTAGTTTTTCTAAAAGCCAAGAAATATACAAGAATACCAGCAAATATCTTAGATTGCCTTCACCCTAATAAAATATTATGTGATTTATAACAGTGCCATTACAGAGAAGAAGAGGGAGAGAGACATTTTCAGCAGAAATTTGAAAAAGGAGTTGAGGATGCTCAGCATAACTCAGGATTGTGTCCCTTCCCCTCCGCCCCCACCACTGATTTCAATAGAAGCACGTTTCTGGCTCTAAGGCCATCTTTCAAAACAATAATTAAACTTATGTTAGCTTAAGTATTTGCTTAACTTTAAGTGCTTTTCTGAATAGGAATGGACTTAATTTTGTGCTTAAATGCTCAAGTATTTTGCTTGACCAGGGCCTAAGTTAGCACACAAGTTAGGTGAAATTGTGGCTTTGTTTCTTTAATAATTTTAAATTGTTTTTGTATTTTGTTTTTGACAATTTAAAATTAATTGATGATTTATTTTTGCTTTTAAAACAAGGTGGTGTGACTATTTACTTTAAATTGTTTAATTTACCCCTCATCTTGAATCTGGGTGCATTAAACATCTGTGCCCCAATCCTGCAAACAATTATGCATGTGTTTAAATTTAGTCACATGAGTAGGCACCCTACTAATGTGAGTAAAACTATGCATGTGTTTAAATGTTTGCAGGATCAAGTCTTGATAACACACAAACACAAGCGTTACTAACAATTGGTTGCAAGCCTTGCTTTTCTCTACTCACTGTCAATGCAAGTTCTTTTACAGCTGCACAACCAAATTATGCAAACAACAACTTGAATAGATGCACCTTTAAAAACATTTTGAAATAGATATTCCCTAAAACTAAAAGCAAGATATAATTCAAAGCATATCCCTACCCTATACAGCAAAATACAATTAAAATATTTCAAAACCTTTGGAGGGGTTGTCATTTTCAGGAAACACTGCAATAGCTTTATAAAGGGAATCCAAACATGCCAAATTTAACATACAAAAATAAAAAAAGAGAGAGTGAGAGTCTATACTCTTCCGAACTATTGATACATTTATTTTTGTAAAAGCTGATGAATTCTTTTGCACAGCTTCTTTCCTCATTCATCACTTATGGATTAATGCCCCCCACCCATGGACTTCAGGAGTGGTCCAGCGTTGCTGCTGGAGACTCTAGGACTATGCCCATCCTTCATCTGTGACTACCAGATTTTCTGCCTTTGGCAGTAGAGCAAGTTGATGGTTTAGTTTCTCCCAACTATTTTATTTTATTTTTTATTATTTTAATTGTTACAGTGGAGTCGCATCTTACACGGGGGTTAGGTTCTAAAGTCAGCGCGTAAGGCGAAAATCATGTATAGTCAAAACTACCCTTGAAAATCCCTTAAATTGCCCATAAAGTACAGTATACTGTACATGGTTTTGTGTATACAATCCTGTACAGTAATATGTATAAATGTATAATGTATACAGTAATGTACAGCATATAATAAAGAGTACATATGCAAAATATAATTTTACAGTACTGTATTTTTAATTACAGGGGGTAATTACAGGGGGTCGTCAGGGCTTCATGCCGATCCAGGAGACGGAGGTGACTGAGAGCTTGGGTGACGGAGAGCGAGTCATAGACGAAGTGGTTGGCTCTGGTTCAGCTTGAGAAGTTGTAGGCTCATCTGCTGCTGGTCGTTTTCCCTTGAAAAATATGGTGATCGGCAACTGTCGCTGTTGTCTGTTGAGCTGCTCAAACATTTCTTGATACGGTCTCAAATCGTCCGTAATTCTACGTGTGATTTTGAGGCTTCGTTCCATAGAGAGATCGTATTCAGAAATTAAATCATTCAAGTGTTTCGCTGCTTGGAACACTTCAGCAAATTTATGAAGATTCCAACTTGCTGGCTCTTTCTGTTTGTCGTCATCATCGTCATCTTCTGTAAACGATTTTATCTGTTCCTCTAACTCTTCGTTAGTCAAAGTTTCTCTATGGCTCTCAATTAATTCTTCAATTTCTTCCTCAAGGATGTTGATGAAGCCATCACCACTCACTTGCCTGGCCACCTGAACAATGTGTTTCACTTCTTTGTCAATGGTCGGGAAACTCTTAAAATCATTCACACATTCTTTCCATAGGTTTCGCCAACAAGCATTGACTGTTTCAGGCTTGATTGTATCCATTGCCGGTTTAATATAAGTGATGCAATCGGCAATGTTGAAGGACTTACAACACTCCATCACATTAAGATTGGGATCAGCATCCATAGTGCTACGTATCCGTGAGAACATAAGCCTCATGTATGTGGCCTTGAAATAGCGAATCACGCCTTGGTTGAGAGGTTGGAGGATGGAGGTGGTATTGGGGGGCGAAAGACGATTTCAGCGTTGTTATGTGCAAACTGGAGTGCCGCAAGGTGACCAGGAGCATTGTCTATGATCAGCAACCCTTTAAAGTCAAGTCCTTTCTCTTCAAGGTACCGCTTGACCTCTGGAATGAAACACTTGTGGAACCAATCCAGAATAATGCTGCCGTCACCCAAGCCTTTTTATTTGATTGCCAGAACACAGGCAGGAGATTTTTGTTCTTGCCTTTTAAGGCATGGGGATTTGCAACCCTGTAGAGCAAGCCCAGCTTTATTAAATGCCCAGCCACATTACCACAAAACAACACAGTCACACGGTCTTTAGCTGCTTTGAAGCCAGGGGCTGGTCTTTCTGATTTTGAAATGTAAGTGCAGTTGGGCATTTTTTTTCCAGAGGAGCCCAGTCTCATTAGCATTAAAAACTTGTTCCGGAAGATAGCCCTTTTCTTCTATGATTTTCTTTTAATTGTTTGGGGTAGGCTTTTGCTGCCTCTTCATTGGCAGATGCAGCTTCATAAGTAGTATGCACATTTTTGAGGTTGAAGCAGTTCCTAAAACTGTTAAGCCAACCTTTGCTGGCTTTGAATTCCTTCTCATCAGAAGGCTGTTCCTCTTCGGCGGGTGGTTTGAACAGCGCGTAGAGGCTAAGAGCCTTTTCTCGCAACGTGTTGCCATTGATAGGTACACATTTACGGTTCATGTCTTCCAGCCATAAGTTTAATGCCTTTTCAGTCTTCATTAAAGTCTTATCATGCACCTGGCTCATCACCTGAGCAGTTATTGGAGCACTTGATGCCACGGCTTGATGAATTTCTTTCCCTCGAATCTTGATGGCATGGATGCTAGATTTATTGAGGCCATATTTACGCGACACATTGGAGACCGACATACCGTCTCTCAATAAGTCCAGTACAGCCAGTTTTTCCTCCAGCTTTGGAACAGATCACTGTTTCTTCGGTTGAGCACCAGATGAAGTAGTTGGCTTCCGTTTAGGGGCCATGTTGTATAAAAATATGTATCTTTAAACACTAGAATCACATTCAGCGCCGCGAGATGCTCACACTATGAGAGGCATGTGGGAACTGAGACCGACTGAGGGAACAGCAGATTCACATCTCCCATCTCATGCTCACT